GCCAGGGAAGCAAAATGTGCAATAAAACCATCCAGGAGCTTTAAAAACAAAGCAAAGTGCACCTGGGACTGCCCCAGCTTTGGGTGCAAATAAAAGCAGGGGGACTTGGACCAAAGATTGGTTCATTTCCAATTCAGGGGATGGAAAATAGACATAAAAATAATAATAATAATAATAACAAGTAACATCTAAGACGTGTGTTTTTCTATTTTGTTTCTATTGCCTTTTTGATTGAGGCTGACTTGCTTTGTTTGACTGCAACTTTAATTCAATTTAAATACCTGGAAAACTCAGTTTTTTAACCAGATATGCCAACACTAAGTGAGGTTTCCAAAGGAATCTGGTTATCCCACCCATTGCTGCTCCTTCAGTGCAGCACACAGCACGCTGAGCACTCTGAGCTGCTGGGCTTTGGCAGGAAATCATTGATCTGAACAATTCCCCTGATCGATTTTGGTGACAATCTGCCCCTGTTGGTTGGAATCCTGGAATATTTGGTGTTTCTACCCATGCCCAGCACTCTCCTGGTCCCATTTCCAACAAGGAGAAGAGTGCCTGGAATTGTTGGTGCATCCTGTGATTTACCTGAGGGGGAGATCGAATTCGAAATAACCTCCTGGAGGTTTTATAAAGCTTTGTGTTCATTTTAATATGCCTGCACGAGATGAAAGATAATCATTTGGAATTCTCTCAAAGGCCCCTCTGATTTTTATAAGCCAAGAACAATTGCCTGTGATTTTCAAAGCCACACAGATGCCTCCATATCCAACAGTTTCATTTCCTTTGGGAGGAAACTGGCAATTTCTAGGGACAAAAGCCACCCTGAGAGTGTCCCTGTGACAATAGGGGCTGCAGAGAAAATGAGAGCATTGCCCAGCCCAGGGGGAGATTAAAATCATAAAAATCACTTTCCCTCCTTCACATCAAACTCTCAGAGCTCCCAGGGAAATGATGGAATGTTTGCAAGATTTTTTTTTTTATTTTTTTTTTTTTCCCCTGGATTCCCCAATTTGAAGGGTAATTAGTGTGTCCAGGTCTTTTAATGAGGCAAGTTTTTATCACTTCCATCAATAAAAAAATCATCTGTTCTGTTAAAGTCATTTATTCCATAGCATTTTACTTTCTTTCTATACTTTTTCAAGATTTGAAAAGTGCTTTTCAGTCATCAGTTCCATAAGAAAATCCACTTTTTAAATCTACATGGAATTCAAAAGCCACATTCCCAGGATAATATGGAAAAGTTATGGCAAAAGTGAAGTGGAAAAGGAAGATTTCCACCAGTTCCTGCACAAAGAGAATTATTTCACTGAGGACACTTTTGAAAAAGAATTTGAATTTCAAACAATCCTTGCAGTGCTCTGTGGGACACAAGAATTGAAGTGAAGGTGGTTTTTTGTTTCAGAGGAAACTAAAACCACAGATAAAAATCATCAGGCTTGAGTGGTCAGGCTTAAAAAATGTCAATATTTAGAACTTTCACTGATAGACACAGAGCTCAAAGAACACCCATGGGAAGGACTCAGCTCCCAGATGTTCAAAAGTGCCTGAGAATGCAGTTTGACAGAAAAACAAAGAAATAAATAAAAGTGATTTTGCTGTGGAAATCACAGCAGAACTACCTCTGAAGTGTGAATCACTAAGTAAACACAGCCAGCAAAAGGCTGATAATTCTCTATATAACAATAATAATTTGCACTGATTGTGTGAGGAAATTTTTTTTTGGTCAAACAACCAATTTTTAATTTTTTTTTTTTTTCCATAAGCCTCCAGTGTTTATTTTCTGGAAACCTTAAGTGCTGACAGGTTGTGATTTCAGAATCAAGGATTCCACTGCAGCTGAAGCAGAGCTTTGGGGAGGAGGGATTTAGGGTTTAGGGTTTAGGGTTTAGGATTTAGGGTTTAGGGTTTAGGATTTAGGAAATTTGAGCACATACTACTTGGACTTGTCCATCCTCTCCAATCTGGTGGATCTGGACCTGCTGAGCATTGGCCAGGGCGTAGTGCAGGGCCTGGGGCTGGTTCTGCTGCATCTCACTGGAGGCTGACACCGAGCTCTGGGATCCCTCTGGGGAAAAAAAAAAAAATCAAATTCCAGTTTTATTTTATGTGCATGCACCTAAAATGTTCCTAAATCACCCTGGAAATCAGATCCAAGTGGAGACAGATCATTCACCCATCAATATTCCTGTGCATGGTGAATTCCAGAGAATTCCAAAGCTGGGAGAGCTCCTGTTTAAAGAAAAAACACCTCTGGGATTCCTCTGGAGAGAAAAAAAAATCCAATTCCAGTTTTATTTTATGTGCATGCCCCTAAATCTCCTGGACATCAGATCCAAGTGGAGACAGATCATTCATCCATCAATATTCCTGGGCAGGCTGAATTCCAGAGAATTCCAAAGAATTCCAGAGAATTCCAAAGAATTCCAAAGCTGGGACAGCTCCTGTTTATAAAAAAGCACCTCTGGAATCCCTCTGGAAAAATAAATACTAAATTCCAGTTTTATTTTATGTGCATGTCCCTAAACTGTTCCTAAATCCCCTGGAAATCAGATCCAGGCAGTGGACCCAGATCATTCACCCATCAATATTCCTGGGCAGGCTGAATTCCAGAGAATTCCAAAGAATTCCAGAGAATTCCAAAGAATTCCAAAGTTGGGGCAGCTCCTGTTTAATAAAAATAAAAAACCTTTTGGAATCTAAATCCCAGATTCTGCAGCTGTAAAAGTCCCCTCAGAAATTCGATTTTTTTTTTTTTTGTTCACCTGAGAACAATTTCTGTCACCATCACATTTTAAAAACCCATCCTGCCTATGGTGAGAAATGAAATGATCATTCATAAATAATAAATAAATAAGAAATAAAGGGAATATCCCAATTGTTTTCCAAGATCCATCCCCTACAATTCATATTGACACAGGTGAAATTGTATTTTTGAACCTCAAAATGACAGGTGGATTTCTGGATTTATTCAATTCAAACCCACCTGTGGCTGCAGAGTGGAAATGCCCCTGAAAAGGGAATTTTAAAGATAAAAAAATGGGATTTATCTTCATGCAACAGGGACAAAAACCACCAGGAAAACCTCAGTGGGATTTCCAGAAAGGAAAAATTTGCCTTGGACACATCATAGATCCATTCTGAGCTTTTCCAGCTGCAAGGAAATTATTTATTTTTATTTTTTTTTAAACAGAAGAGGCAAAAAGTTAAAAGGACAGAAACCATTAATTTTTAATATCTCTATTAAGTACTCCAAGATTTATTCTGCAAACACACTGTTAGTTCTGCAGGAATGAGCTTTATCCCCTCAAATATTTTAATGGGAATGTTCTTTAATAAAATCAACCATTTAAGGGCTTTTTTTTTTTTTTTTTTTAATTATTTTTTTTCCCCCCCTCCTGTGTGTAAATGTTTGGGCACAAAGATAATTTTGAGGTTTAGGTCTGAGCATGGGAACTCCAAACCACCAAGTGAATATTTCTTTATTTCTTTATTTATTTCTTTATTTGATGAAAATTGGGTTCTTTAGGCTGGACACAGAATTCCAGCCACAAATTTCCACAGGAATTGAAGGGGAAAAAAAAAAAAAAAAATTCAACAAATCCAAATTTTTCCTGCTTGTTGGACACACACTTTTAACCCTTCCCATCCCAGCAGAGTTTTTATTTATTCCTTAAATTCAGCCTTGCTGCTCCCCTTGTGCAATTCCAGCTTTTCCTGCACTGCTGGAATTTGCTGCACAAAATTCCAGGTGGGATTGAGGAATCCCAGGTGGCTGAAAAGGGCTGGACATTGCAGAAAAACGGCTCCATCAACCAAATAAAAATGGGATTTTTTTTTTCCATTTGGGATATCAGTGCCTCTGTCATGAGCACTGGAAAGAATCCTGAAAAAATCCTGGGAAAATTCTGGGAAAATCCTGAGAAAATCCTGGAAAAATTCTGGGAAAATCATGGGAAAAATCCTGAGAAAATCCTGGAAAAATCCTGGAAAAATTCTGGAAAAATCCTGAGAAAATCCTGAGAAAATCCTGGAAAAATCCTGGGAAAATCCTGGAAAAATCCTGGAAAAATTCTGGGAAAATCCTGGAAAAATCCTGGGAAAATTCTGGAAAAATCCTTACCTGAGCTTCTGTTTTTCATTTTTCTCCCATCTCCATTCATTTATTCCTAATATTTGATGCAATTCACTTCTCTATTTTTTAATTTACTTTTTATTTCTTTTAATTAATTGATTGACTAAATTACTATTCATTTATTTTTATTTTTTATAATTACTATATTACATTTATATTACATAATATAAATATGATATTACATATATTAAATATAAATGTAGTAGTATGTACAAACATCTCTAATATATAATATAATTTATATCATATTATATTATATTATATTATATTATATTATATTATATTATATTACATTATATTACATTATATTACCTCTATTTTGTTGGATTTTTGGTGTTTTATACTAGCTAAATAAATAGATTGAAATAGATTTAAATTTCCCTTTACTGCAACAACTAAAATTAATTTTTTTTTTCTCTATTTTGTTGGATTTTTGGTGTTTTTCTCTCTTAGGATGAAAGAAGAGAGAGGATCCAGGCACATTGAAAACAAAACATCTTTTATGAGTCCTGGTTTTCATCTGGGAGCAGACAAAGGGAATATTTCTCCATTTTTATAAACATTCCTCAATGCAAACAAACACAAGCTTGGTGACAAATCCCTGCAAACCATTTCCACTTTGGATTCTTGGAGAATCCCTGGCAGGAAGAGCCACAGCTGAAATCCAGAATTTTTAATGAATTTTTCCAGAATTTTTAATGAATTTTTCCATAATTTTAAATGAAATTTTCCAGAATTTTTAATGAATTTTTCCAGAATTTTAAATGAATTTTTCCAGAATTTTTAATGAATTTTTCCAGAATTTTTAATGAATTTTTCCTGAATTTTTAATGAATTTTTCCAGAATTTTTTAATGAATTTTTTCCAGGATTTTTCCAGATTTTTTTTCCAGATTTTTTTTCCAGATTTTTTCCCAGATTTTTAAATGATTTTTTTTCCATAATTTTTCCAGAATTTTTTTCATGAATTCCCAAGGGACAATTGGGACATGAACCCTGCAGTGCCACGTGAGCCATGGCATTCCCAAAGAACCTCCAATGTATGGTTTTAAAATCCTAAATCCAGCTAAAATCACTTTTTAAAGCCAAATCTTTGGTGTTTTCTAATCCAATCCTATTTATCTGTTGAGGATTTTCAAGGATTTAAGGAATTGTTTAGGGTGGAGCTTTAGGATCATCAGATCCAAGATCCACCCTGTCCCCAAGTGCCACATCCATGGGATTTTTGGACACTTGCAGGGATGGAGACTCCACCACTGCCCTGGACAAACTCTTCCAGGAAGGAATTTTTCTTGCTTCCAAATTGAAAATTTAAGGATATTTCTTCTCATCCTGTTCCCTGGGAGATTCCACAAGCAGGAGGGATGGATTCACATTTAGGAATTTTGGAATTTAAAATTGTTTTCCTGGTGCTCAGAGCTCTACCCTGACACTTCTCCTCACTAACAGGGATGCATCTCCTTGTACTCCCAGCAAGGGAAGTTTCATGATGGATTAACCATCCCCAAACTCAAAAAAAAAAAAAAAAAAGCAGGAAAAAAACCCATTCCAGAATAATGGAAATAAAGCTGTAAACCATCTCCTCCCCCTGCCTCAGCCCCCAGTTGTGTGGAACAGCTTTGAAGATTTGGCTGCACATCCAGTTTTTAATGTGACACCTCAGCACAGGCCTCAATCTACACATAAATCCCAAAGAAAGGGAACTAATTAAAAAATTCCAACATGGAAAACTGTGATAACAGCTTGAACAATCTGAAGAGAAATGCAAAGAAAGGAAGAAGGCACTTTTTAATTAATCCTCCTCCCAAATTCCTCATTTCCTACAGCATTCCCTGCACAGACTCCAACCCTTTCCCAAAGAAAATCCAGTGAAATTATCCTGGAAGCCACGTGGATGTCCCTGGTTGGGAAAAAAATATGGGGAAAACAAACCTCAGGTACTGAAATATTTGAGTCCAAAAGCAGAGCAACAGGAGTGGATTTGAACAGCAATCCTGCTGTGATGCAAATAATTCAGAATTCTTAATTGTGTGTGCAAGAATTCATTTTAAAAAAATTTAAAATGCCAAATAAATGAGGTTGGAAGATCATCTGGAGATGATCTAATCCAAAGGGGTTCCTCAAACCATGGGCAGCCAGAACTGGTGGCTTTGGGTTGCACTCAGGTGGATTTTGATGTCCCCAGGGATGGTGACAACCTGTCACTGTGCTCAGTCATCCTCAAAATTCCTCAGAGCCAGGAAAACCAAAGTCAGGGCACAGCTCAGTGGGTTCCAGGCTGCCATACTGATAATTTTTTAAAAATTAGGCAAATTAATTGCTGCTAAAAACCAACTCTGAAAATCCCAGTCCTCCCATTTATAAGGAAGGGTTTCCAGCACTGCAGGGACCAGGATTTGGGAATATCCCAGGAAATGTTCCAGGCTGGACAGGGCTTGGAGCACCCTGGCACAGGGGAGGTGTCCCTGCACTGGGAGCAGCTTTAAGGCCCTTCCCACCCAAACCAGTCTGGAATTTCTTTTTTTTTTTTTTTTTTTTTGAACAGGAGCCTGAGGAGAGCCCAAAGCAGAGCAGCTGAAGAGAAATTCCAACCCTGTATCCCCCCCATCCCTGAGCCAGGATTTGGAAGCTGAACCTGGAGCTGGCAGGGTGGCACAGGCAGGTCCCCAAGCAGCTGAATTTCCAGGCTCACCTGAAATTTGCTGCCACCCCAGCTGGGCTCAGGTGTCACCCTGCCCAGAGCCCTGTGCTGTCACAATGTGCAGGGCAGAGTTGTTCCCTCTGAGCTCTGCAATATTGTGGGAGCTGGCAGCAGGAATTCTGCTCCTCCACTGCACACAATAATTGGGATCATGGTAATTGGGGTGCTGTAATTCCAGCCAGGCCTTCCAGGGATGTGCAACCAAAGTCTGAGCACTTGGTGGAGTTACCTGAACACACAGGTGGAGTCCCAGCCCTGGCAGGGAATGTGGGAATCCACATTTCCCTTCTCCCTCTTTTCCCTCTATGCCCATGGAGCCTCCCAACCCCCTCTCCAGTTTCTGCTCATCCAGCTGAAATCCCACTGCTGGTGGCTTTGGGGATCAAACTGAGCTGCTCAGAGCATTCCTGGCTCTGCAGAGTGCTCAGCTTTTATCAAGCAGCTCCTGTGCTTTTCACAGCACTGAATTCCTCCCCCACCTTTGCAGCCTCCCAAAAAAAGGTGCCAGAGCAATAAGTAAGAGCAATATTTTAAAGATAATTAATCCATGGGAACATTTCCCAGGACATTACCTAAGGCAGTTTTTAATATTTTAATATTCCTGCCTGGATCTGCTCCTCCTGCACAGCCCAGACAATCCTGCCAGGGCCAGCCCAAGGTGTCCCAGCTGAGCAGGGACATCAGCAGGGACAAAGCCACCCCCACAGGGACAGGCAGACACCTCTGAGCTGCCATAAAACTCCTGGGAAATCCTGGGGACCGATGGAGCAGGGGCAGCCAGCTCCACTCTGCCCAAATGAGGCAGCCTGGACACCCCCCAAAATTCCAGGGTGGCTCCAGAAGGATCCCCTGAGTGTTTGTCCCCCCCCCACTGCTCTCACAGCACTGCTGAAATCCCAAAGGTTTGGGATGCTTTGGGTGCCCAGGGGTGAATTCAGGTGGTTTTGTACCCGTGGAATATTTTATTCACAAATCAGTTTTGTGGAACTGAGGGGGGGGGGTAAAGAAATGGATCCTCAGCTTAAGCACAAGAAGAAAGGCACCCAAACCCATGGCCCTACAGCCTTCAGGAATGCACTGACTCTGAGCTTTACATCTCTGCAGGTGTCTCCAAACCTCCAAAACCCATTCAAGATGAATAATTTGAATAATAAATCTCAACACCACTTAAGGAGCACAGGCTAATGAGCACAGGCTGTAATATCCACCTACTGCTGCCTTTTTACCCTGAAATACTGATTGCTGAAAGACTGAAAGTAAAAATCCCATCAACAGAGAGGGCTTATGGTTATCATTACATTGATTAGTTGTTTTAATTTGAGATTTTTGGATGTGATTCCCTGTTCCAGCACATAAAATTTTCCATTGAAAGCAGATTTTGTCATTCTTTGCATGAGATACAGTGGTTAGTGTTAACATGCAACCAAAAATTTTATGCAGGCAAATAAACTGACTTCCTTTTCTTTGGGCTGCCTTCCAAAGCCCTGTTTTTAATATCTAATGTACAAAAGTCCCAGAACACTGCTTTATATTAAAAGCATGAGCCAGAAATGTCCTCAGAGAACACTCCTGAGGTCAGGATTTTTCATTTGTTATTACAATCCAGGCCTCCATACCTAGATGGAAATATGGAATCACCTACAGCACATTTCATGTGTGCAGAGGAAAACTCTTCAGGAACAGCATTTAGCACGTCCCACTGAATGGTGTGAACACTCTGGGAAGGATTTAGTCACTTGATTCCTCTTTGGAACAACAACTGCAAGGATTATTTGGACTTTCTACTCGAAGGACTGAGCGTGGTAAAAAGACAAAAATCCAGCACAAAGCTGCAGGAGCTGAATCCATGAGGGTGGACAGAAATCAGGGATAAATGGGATGTTGGGAAGGAATTCTTCCTGGCACAGGGTGCTCAGAGAAGCTGTGGCTGCCCCTGGATCCCTGGAAGTGTCCAAGACCAGTTAGGGATAATTTGGGATAGTGGAAGGTGTCCCTGCCATGGCAGGGGGTGCAATGGGATGAACTTTAAATCCCTTCCAACCCAAACCATTCCTCAGCACCTCAGCAAAGCCAGGAGGCCAAATTAAAATTCAGGCAGCTTGGAAAGCAACAGGGATTTATCATCTGGAGGGGGAAGGTTTGGTTTTTTACCTGAGCCACTGTAGGAGGAGGAGGAGGGTGTTCTCCTGGAGAAGCTTTTCACAGCCAGGCTCTGCCCTCTCTGCTTCCTCCTCCAGGCTGTTCTGCACTTGGAGTCGATGCTCTGCTTGATGCGGTACCAGTCTGACTCTGTGATGCCAAACTTGTAAAACAAATGGCCTGCAATGATGGAAAAAACCAAAAAAAACCAAGATATCACCATCAACACAAAGCTGTGTTGTCCAGAAAACACAGAGAGGACACATCCAGTCCTACACCAGGCTCTGTACCTGGGCAAAGACCCCCCCCAAAGCTGAGCAGTGACAGGATTTGAACAAAATTTAGTCCCAAAACTCAGTGATTGTTCATGTGCACAGCTGTGGATGTAACAAATGCCAGCAGTCCATGGAATTTTATCAGCTGCACTCAGATCTGTGCAAGCTGCTCTGGCACATCCAAGCTGTGCCAAAACAAGAGGAGATTTCTCACTGATAGAACCCCACAATAAATCTGATGGTAGAAGAACAAAACTGCCTCCTGCTCAAGTGGGAAACTGCATAAAACTCCCTATAAAGAAAAAAAGTCGACTCTTTTAAAGCTCAGTTCAAAATTGATCCAAACCCAGTAAAAAATGAGGATCTCTGCACAGTTACTCCCAAAATTCAGGAATTTTAAGAGCCTCAGGACAAACTTTGCAGCCTTTGGTGCTAAGTTGCCAAAGTGTTCCATAAACAGGGCAAGGATTGGCTTTAAAACTGGGAATTTAACTGGGAATTTTGTGCACTGTCAGCTTGAATTATTCCACACTTCCACCCTTTCACTGGGAGCTTCCGAGGGGTTTGGATTTTCCTAAAGCACCAACACTTGAGAGCAAAGAAACTCCAAGCTCCCATGGCTACAGAATTTTTAAAAAATCCATTATTTGCCAATCTAAAAAAGAGAGAGATGGATTTTTATATGGGCAGGGAAAGGGGATGGTTTTAAAGTGACAAAGAAAAGGGTTAGGTGGGATATTGGGAAGGAATTCTTCTGGGATGGGATTCCCAGAGAAGCTGTGGCTGCCCCTGGATCCCTGGAAGTGTCCAAGGCCAGGCTGGAGCCCCCTGGGACAGGGGAAAGTGTCTCTGTCCATGGCAGGAATGGAATTAAATGAATTTTAAGGTCCTTCCCACCCAAACCATCTCAGGATTCTGTGATTCAAACCCCTTCAATCCAACCAGAACTCCCTGAACATTTAATGTGTTAATACTGCAAACCTGCAGGATTCAAAATTCAACACTGAACAAGCCAAGGCTGCTTTTACTCCACAGGACAGAGCTTCCAGAATCTCTAAAATTCTCATTTTCCTTTTCCTACCCTGCAAAGTAAAATAATGTTTCCCACTTTTCCACTTACTGGGCTTTCCATTTTACTCTCAGATGGGCTCCTAATCCTGTGAAGGACTGGCTGAAGCTGTTTTGTATAGAACATAAAGAACAGGATATGGGGCTGCTCCTGCAAGACAAATGATTTGAAGCCTGGAGCCACAAAATTCCAGGTTTGCAGAAACTAAAAAGCTCCTTAGTTTCCTCTGCATTATAAATGAGCCCAGAGTCCTCAAAGCCTGAAATCTGCAGGCTCTGACTGAGCCAAGTGGAGAACTGGATCTCTTGTGGCATCACTCTTTAAAATCAAATTTATTTTTTCAATGCTTTTTTTTTTTTTTTTTTTGGTAGGAGCAATTTGAAATAAAGGAAGAAAACACTGGACCTCAAAACCTAATTCAAAAGTGCTTTCAAGTCCCCAAAATTTCTCCCTTCTAAGAGACAGCCCTGAGTGGTGCCTCCGAAATGGGAAAGGAGGAAAATGGGTTGAAATTCCAATTTGTTGCTGTGAAAGTTTCCTTCCCACAGGTGTCAGCAAAAGCAGAGCCCATCCTGGATTGAATCCCTGAGCCCACACTGCTCATCCCCCGGGGCATTGTTTGGGAATATCTCAGGAAATGTTCCAGCCTGGGATTCTATGATTTTTCAAATGTTTTTGAATTAATTTTGAATTACTGGGAAGAGTGGCCAATAAAACCAGATGTGTTTGAACTCCTGCCCCACCCTCAGAAGTCCCACAGGAAACACCAGCAGGGCTTGGGGTGAGTTTGGAGGAAAAAAAAAAATCCATATTTCACTCCTAATTGCATTTTAATGACTTCCATGGTGTGTTGATGGCTGGACTGCAGGCAGAGAAAATCTCAGGGAAAAACTGCCTGGCCGGGAATTTTAATTATTCCAGTGGAATCCATGGATATTCCAGCATGCCACTGGATTTAATCTATGGAATATTCCAGCATGCCACTGGATTTAATCCATGGGATATTCCAGCATGCCACTGGATTTAATCCATGGGATATTCCAGCATGCCACTGGATTCAAAGAGAAATAAAAGTGAGCTCAATTATTCAGGACAGGAGTCTCAGGTGCAGTGTGAGCACCAGAGCTGGGACACAAAACATCCCCAAAAGTGCTTGATTGAGGGAAGGAAGGAAAAAATCTTCAGGAAACTGAAAGGGAGGAGTTTTAGATGGGATTTTGGGAAGGAATTCCTGGCTGGGAGGGTGCCCAGAGCAGCTGTGGCTGCCCCTGGAAGTGCTGGAATAAGCTGGCATAGTGGAAGGTTGGGATTAAATCGATTTTCAATCACTTCATCCCAACCCATTGCATGATTCTCCCTCCTGACCAAACTGATCATGAATCCCTGTGATCAGGAATGGCCAGGAAATGCTGGCAGCCACCACAGGGAGACAACAGCTCCAGAGGAAATCATGGAAAACAGACAACAACCTCACCAGGACAGGGGCAGAGAGGGAAATTTTAGGCTACAGAACCCTAAACCATCAGGGACAGATTTTCCAAGGCAGGCATCCTCATTTCTTTCCCTCAATTCATGAATTTCCAGTTGCTGTCAGGGTGTCAGACTGGTCCAGACAAGCAGTGCTGTCTGCAGACATTTCTACCCCAACTGCAGACCTGGTCATGAGCAAATCAGGCCTGAAAAATGAACCCTAAAATGAACCCTAAAGCACAAAGCTAATTGATAAAAAAAACCAAAATGAATTTCAGATGTCAAATCTGTGCAGTTGCTATCACAATCTCAAATGTTGTTTTACAAGCAGGTCCTTAGCAGGGAATTTCCTAGCAGGAAAAAAAAATCTCAATCTAAAGGCAGTGGAGGAGTTTTTAAGCAGATAAAAAGTTCCCAGTGGCATTAAAAATATGATTTACCTGCAGGAGAGAGAGCAATCCCCCAAATATGTGCACACAATAGCAGAGAAATGGAGCTCCCTATCCACAAATAATTCCACAAATAATTCCACAAATAATTTCACAAATAATTCCACAAATAATTCCACAAATAATTTCACAAATAATTTCACAAATAATTCCACAAATAATTCCAGGCAGGAGAGCTCCCAGCTGCCCCATTCCCAAACACCAAACACACTCAGAAAAGCAGAATATTGGAAATGAAACCTCTCCCTTGGGGAAATCTAGAAGAGAGAAAAGACAGGAATGCTTCAGGGAAAAAAGATTTGATTTTTTTGGGGGGGATCATTTACTCTCCCAAAGCTGCATCAAACACTGCAGAGCATCCACAGAGCCACAGAACAACACAGAAAAAAAATCCAGTCAGGAATATAAATCAGCACTTGGAGCAAAAGGCAATATTTGGGCAGATGGATGTCCATAAAAGAGGAGCAAAGAACAGGATTTAGATGATTTAAGAGTGGCTGAGCGTGTTTTTAGTGATTTTTTTCATGAATGGTGCCTCAAAAAAAAAAAAAAAAAAAGGTGTCCTTAATTTTAAACAATAAAAGCCCAAAGTTTGCTCTTTTGGGGAGAGGAACCTCATTTCCTGAATGAAGCTTTCCATGAAAAAACACACCAGAGACTTACAAATAATTCAGTGATTTCCTAAATTGCAGCAGTTTGGGTGATTTTTACAGCCAGGAAGATCCTGGCTGCAGCTTGGGAGCCAAAAAAAGGGATGGAAAGAGAATTCAGGGAGCCACAGGGGGGGAAAAGGGGAAATCAAGGATCAACAATTCCAATATTAGCAAGGGAAAACTCAGGAAAAAAGCAAAAATCAGGAAAATTCAAGTCAGCTTTAAAAGGCAACAGGTGCAGCATGGATCAGAGACACAGGGAGAGATGTGGAGGAGTTAAATTAAAATTTAAAAGAGCAACACAAGCAGGCCTGAAATAAATCTTTCCGTGGTTCTTAAAGGAAATAAAAAAGTAGGAAATGCAAAGGAAAAAAAAAATCTTGGAAATACAAAGCAAAACAAGCTCGAAAATGCAAAGGGAAAAAAAAAAAAAAAGATTTGATTTGGTACCAACACAAAGGTGGTGTCTGAAATGGTTCAATACTCCCAAATTTTTTTGAGGATCTGCTGTACAAAATAAGGAGAGAAAGGGCTGGAGTTTCCTAAAAAGCAGAATTAATTATAAACTAAGAAAATCCCAGGAAAATCATGTTCCAGAGGGAGCAATCCTCTCTCTTGAAAGGTCAGGGAGCAGACAAAACAATCCCCAGAGAACAGAAAACTGGAAAGAAATCAAATTAAGAACAAATTGAGGAGGAAGAGAAGACGTTTAGGAGATCAAAACCAGACATGAAATATTCCATCCTGATCCTGCATTCAGAACCAGCTCCTAAAAATCAAATTCCATGTCAGGAGTTTCATTTGCACACTCTGAGTTTGTGCTGCTGCCCATTCTCCACAAATTTCCTTGGAAAAATTCAAAGGTAAATCAGAATTTTCCTGGACTTGGCTGAGGTGACCCAGAAATTCCTGCTGCTTTTGGTGCATTTGGGAAGATTTGGGAAAATGCAGAACACAATCCAACAGCCACATGTATAAAATATAAATATATTTATATTAAATACAGAATCCAAGCAGATTGGGGTCGCTGCTCCTTCACTTTCCAATTCCCTGTGATTTTTTAAACCTAAAGAAAAGCACCAGGATGGGGAATTCATCTGAAAGTGATGGACAGGATCCTTTGAAATTGGCAGGAACGTGATGGATCCTACAGGAAACAAAGGCTCCTGCCTGCTCAGAGAGGAGAAGGGGCCGATTTTTTGGGGCTATGGCTCCCAAAATTCCTTTTTTCTCAGCAGGCTCATCCATTTGGAGCCTTTTTGAT